GAGGGAAGGAAGGAGTAAGTATTGTTCTCTGTTTTTCTGTTAACGGAAGAGGAGGAGGGAGGTATTTGTGCCTTTGGTGGGGAGGGAAGGATATTGTTGTCTGTTAACGGGCAGGAGGTTAAGGGGTGGGGAGTAGTTACAGCGTTTGCCCTCTATGGTTCTCACTTCCAGAACACCTAAGGTTACATTTTGGGGAGTGATTGCGATCGAGTACAGTGTCGGCCACATTGTTTACCCTTTTCCCCTCCCCTTCCCCCTACCCCTCTCCCCTTTCCCCCTTACCCCTCTCCTCTTCCCCTCTCCCCTATAGGCACACACACACACACACACACACACACACACACACACACACACATTTAAACCTCCATATTAAGAAAAAAATAATCCTGGACTGAAGATGTAAACAGACACTTCTTACCTTTCCAACTTAAACCAATAAAGACCAAGACAAAGAACAATCTCACGTCGACAAACTGTCGACGAAAGTAGATTATCGACTTTTTGGGAAATATTACCTAATTTTCCGAAATAGATTATTATAGAAAACGGGAAATTTGTATCAGAAAATGGGAAATATCTACTTTTTGGGAAAGTTGGTTATCTACTTATAGTAGAAAACGGGAATTTGTATCATAGAAAGTGCGAAATATCTACTTTCCGGGAAAGTTGGTTATCTACTTTCCCGAAAAGTAGATTATCTACTTTTGGAGAAAGTAGATTATCGACTTTTCGGGGAAGTAGATTACCCGGCAATCGAATCGTGGACCATATATTCGAAATCAGCATGCTCTGGAGTACTTATAATGTGATTTTTAACTAAATCTAATTTTTGGGCCAAAACTGGCGAAAAGGTAAGCCTTACCCCCTTGGTAATTTTTCGCCCACAATATACTTTTTTCACAGAATTGAAATTTAAGGGGTTTAACTAATTAAGTACTTACGGAATAACATATTAACACCAAAATTACTGGAAACAATCATTTCAAACTCTATTCGAAATCACCTGGAGAAGCACAAGTTGATCCATGATTCCCAACATGGTTACAGGACAAAACAGCGAGTGAGCATTAACGGCACTAAATCCCTTTGGAGCAACGTCACTAGTGGGGTTCCGCAAGGCTCAGTACTTGGACCATTATTATTTATTGTATACATAAACGACATAGATATCGGCGTAGACAGCAACGTAAATTTACTGATGACACTAAAATAGGACGTGTAATTAAATCTGACGAGGACTCCGCAAAACTACAGGATGATCTAAAAAAAAATTTCAAATGGTCTGAAAAATGGCAGATGAAATTCAATGTGGACAAATGTAAAGTACTCAGTATAGGAGATGTAAACAGGGAAACCAGATATCAAATGAACAACGATGTTATTGAGAAATCCGACTGCGAGGGAGATTTAGGAGTAATGATAAGTAGGAATCTTAAGCCAAGTAAACAATGTGTATTTGCTCGAAGCAAAGCTAATAAAGTACTTGGGTTCATACAAAGGAGTGTTAGTTACAAGACTAGCGAGGTCATCTTAAAACTATATCTTGCGCTTGTGAGACCTCACTTGGATTACGCAGTTCAATTCTGGTCAACGTATTACAGAATGGATATAGAATCCTTGGAAAGACTTCAGAGGAGAATGACAAAACTAATCCCGGGCATTAGGAACCTTGAGTACAGAGACAGGTTAAAGCATCTTAATTTGCACTCCCTCGAGAGACGTAGAGTGAGGGGCGACATGATCGAGGTGTATAAATGGAAGTCAGGGCTGAACAAAGGGGACATTACAAAGGTACTCAAACTATCCAACCAGGAGCGAACTCGTAACAATGGTTTTGAATTAGATAAATTTAGATTTAGGCGCGAAATAGGTAAATATTGGTTTGGAAATAAAGTAGTGGACGACTGGAACAAGTTACCAAATATCATCATTAACTCGAATACGCTGGATAGCTTCAAACATAGGTTGGATGGATATATGAGCAATAGGGGTTGGGTGTAAATGGGACTGCCCAGTATGGGCCAATAGGCCCGCTGCAGTTTCCTCCATTCTTATGTTCTTATGTTCTTACGTTCACCCCTCTCCGCTCCCCACCCATCCCCACCCATCCCCTCCCATCCCCACCCATCCCCTCCCATCCCCTCCCATCCCCATCAACTCCCAACCCCTCATTAATATTTAGTGACAGAAGTTAGTCAAAACAAACCGTGTTACCATTGGGCTGTGGAAGCGGCAAAAAATTACATCACATTATCGAGTCAACACGTGAACACCGTAAACAGTTTTGACTATTTCCGTGTCGGGTTTATTATTGGGCTCGAACATTGTTTTAGTGGCGGTGAAAAAATACTATATTTTATAATTGTTTCGTGGATAATAATAAAAATAATATGTACCTATGTATGCATTTTTTTCCTGGGAAGATAATTGATGAGTTTACCTTGTCCTGGCATTCGTATTTCCACGTAATTCTTTGCTCCCAACTTTGGGCTGTCACACAACCTAATTAGTCCTTTCTATACAAGATAAAGATGATACTTTTTTTTCTTTCTTTTGCGGATTATTTCTTTCATTCTTTCATCCTAGACGTGTATAGCGGGGCCAGATTTTTGAGAGAGAGAGAGAGAGAGAGAGAGAGAGAGAGAGAGAGAGAGAGAGTAATGTTTATGAACCCTCTGAGGATGATGATTTAACCACAATTACCATCATTATACCATCATCACAAACACAACCACCACCACCCATCCAAAACAACCTCCACAACCACAACTACCAGTATCACCACCACCACAACTACTACTGTATCACCAGCAGGACAACCACAACTACCACCACCACCAGTACAAACCTTCCATTGCAGCCAGCACAAGCACGACCACAACTACCACTATCATCACCACCGCTACAATCTCTACCCTTCCATCACAACCACGACCACAACCACCACTCCTTCATTACACCAACAACCCACAACCAGGTCCCATGACATGTAAGACCACCCGACCATGACCCAAGACACACACACACACACACACACGCCAGGAGCAGGAAGAAGACGTACACAATGGTTTTAAGTTTACCGGGTGTGTGTGTGTGTGTGTGTTTGTTATGGAGCAGTGTTGGAATTAGTCTTTATTTGTTACGTTTAGTCTTTATTTGTTACGTTTAGTCTTAATTTGTTACGTTTAGTTACGTTTAGTCTTAATTTGTTACGTTTAGTCTTTGTTTGTTACGTTTAGTCTTTATTTGTTACGTTTAGTCTTTATTCGTTACGTTTAGTTTTTGTTTGTTACGTTTAGTCTTTATTCGTTACGTTTAGTTTTTGTTTGTTACGTTTAGTCTTTATTTGTTACGTTTAGTCTTTATTTGTTACGTTTAGTCTTTATTTGTTACGTTTAGTCTTTATTTGTTACGTTTAGTCTTTATTCGTTACGTTTACTCTTGATGTTTGCTTTTTGAGCTATATTTTGAAATATGAATTTTGGTTTGTAGCGTGAAATAATTTTTTTTAGTGTGGAATGTATTTAGTATTTTGCGTTTGAATTTGAAATACGTACGGTAGAGTATTTTTCGTTTTAACATAGTACTGTATGGGTATTTAAAGCGTTTTAACTCCGGCTACGATATTTACATTCTAAATTTGAGTTACCTAGTTTGAATTTTAACCACAATACGTAATTTTCACCTTTTTTTTCCATAGGACATTCCAATTAATATTAAAAACATCATTGTATTCCCGTATGATCCTGGGTAAACATTTGCTGTTGATAATGTTTTGTGGTTGTGTTAACTTGTACATTTTGCTGTTAAATTATGTTAATGTTTACACTTTCATTTCACCTCCAAAAGTTATCACATATTTTGTGTGAATAATATTAATGTCTTCAGTGCCTCTCTGTCTCGCTTGAGCCATTTAGCCATTACAAGATATAAAGAATGGCTTCCTCGCGGGTAATGTCTCAGCACGTTTAGGGAATGAGAAAATAACTTGCTTGTGAATGGTATTGATATTGCAATGTTGCATGACGTGGGGGGAGGTTGCAAGGCGAAATAATAGGTTGCATTGGTGACGTGTGTATGTTACCTCCACATTATGGATGTTCATTCTTATTAATATTACCTCTTGACAGTACCATCAGCTACCACAATTACCACAATCTGTCTCTACTACCCCTGTTACTCTTAAGCTATTAGCACTACCACCAGTATAAGTCAGCATCACTAGGCACTACCATTTACCACCATTATCATCAACCATTACCATCACTATCATCTTAACTACCACCATCATCAGCCTCTACCACAATCAGTCACCCTATTAGTCTCAGCTACTACTACTACTACTACTACTATCAGTCAGCATCAGAGGTAAGTATTGAAGTCTCGGTTTTGTATATTAATGCCAGTTATGTGATCCACCACCAAATGTATTTTTCTGGGGTCCTGTCTAAAATTCCTCCCCAGAGTATTCTCCCCAGTGCCCTCCAGGTATTATTCCCCGTCCCTCCCTCCCCAGATATTCTTCCTCGTCCCTTCCTCCCCAGATATTCTTCCTCGCCCCCTCCCTCCCCAGATATTCAACCCCGCTTCCTCCCTACATATTCATATCCACTTCCTCCCCACATATTCATCCCCACTTCCTCCCCACATATTCAGCCTCATCTTTCCCTCCCCACATATTCTTCCCCTTCTCTCCGTCCCCCAGAATTTTCTTCTTTCTCCCCAAATAATGCTGATTCATTCCTCCCCAGATTATTCTCACTTGCAGAACATTATTCCCCTCTTTCCGGGTGTTTCCCAGAATAATCTCCCCCTTCTATAATATACTCTACCCTTTCAACTCCCTACCCAGGGCATCACTCCCAAGACGACCCCCTCCCCATCTCCCACCCCCTCCCACACGACCCCAACTCTCCCAGTCCCCCCACCCAAAGTCTAGCCAGAATAGGAGGTGAAGGAGGAAAAGGAGGAGGTGACTGACGAAGGGCTGCCTTCCCCAGGGCATCACGCTCAAGATGAACGAGGAGGGGCGGTGCATCGTGGCGCGTATTATGCATGGGGGGATGATCCACCGGCAGGCCACCCTACACGTGGGCGACGAGATCCGGGAGATCAATGGTGTGCCCGTAGCCAACCAGAGTGTCGACATCCTGCAGAAGATGCTGGTGAGGGCGCCTTCCCCTAGCACCCCGCTATGCCCACCGCTCTTACAACCACCGAGTGGGCTTGAGGGGTTGTACAGTGAGAGGGTTGAGTGGGGGGATGTCTACTACCACTACTACTACCATTAACTACCCTGGTGTGGTGTGAGAGGGTGTGTGTGTGAGAGAGAAAGAGAGCTGTATGGCTGGTGTGAGAGGGATGGTGAGAGTGACCTGAGTAAGGTTTATGGAGAGACTGAGGCTTTTGTCATAAGAAACAGATGGAGTGGGGATGAGAGGGCTGAATGTTCTTGTTGGTGAGTGGGATGACGAATGAAAGTGAAGACCAAGTGGATCGTGGTTGTTTGAAGGACCAACTACATGGATGAATGAAGGAGCAAGTGTGTGGATGAGTGAACAAGTGGATGAATGAATTAAGGAACAAGTGGATGAATGAATTAAGGAACAAGTGGATGGATAAATGAACAAGCGGGTGGATGAATGAACAAGTGGATGAATGAATTAAGGAACAAGTGTAGTGGATGAATGAATGAACAAATGGATGGATGAATTTAGGGACAAATTGATTTACTGATGGAGGAATAAATAGATGGATGAATGAGAAAAAAAGATGGATGAATGTAGGAGCAAATGAAATAAGAGAGAAATTAGCATGACACTAATCCATTACATCACTAACAACCCTTAAAAGTAACTACCTATATCCTATTACTAATAAGAGATAACAAGCACTGTAAATAATGATATGTAAATTAACAACTTTTCTATAATCTCTAAATATCAACTTGTAAATACAACTAACAGGTTTCAAGAACACCTTTTGTAAATTACTAGATTCTTAAGAAAAGCTGAGTTTGGCATCTGTAAATTGCAAATGTATTTTATTTTATTATTGTAAATCATGGATGTAAAATTTGTCACAACTATAGAATATTGTAAATCATTGATGTATAACCGTAAGGACTCTTTAAATGGTAATTGTAAATGCTAATGTTGAGAACAGAGTGAAGAACAACAGAGCATGGGAGGTAAGTTGTGTACCAGAACAGAATTGATTGAACATTGTGGTACTCTCACTCAGCCACACAGAAGAGAAATTGAGAACTAGTTGCTAAGCGAATGAGTATGAAAGCTTGAGTGTGTGTGGGGTGTGATTGGTTATTTTGAGAGCTAATGAGTGCAAAAGCTACTGTGTGAGGGGTGTGATTGGTTGTTTTGTGAGCCAGTGAGTACGAAAGATTTTGTGTTAGGCGTATGATTGGTTATTTTTTTAGCCAATGAGTGCGAAAGCCTCAATGTGTGGGGTGTGATAGGTCATTCTGTGAACCCATTGAGACGACCAGTATCCAGTTATGACATATGATTGGCTATACTTTAAGTCGGTGGAGGCAAGAGTTTCCCTTTATGGCATGTAATTGGCTACTTGCCTGGCCAATGAGAGTAAGAGTTTAAGTATGTGGCATATTATAGGCTATAACCTACTCTTGAAACAGGATAGAAACAATAATTTGGAGAATGATATGTTTGACTGGCTTGTGATTGGCTCAGTTTTTATAGTTATCATGTGATTGGTTACTCTTCAGACCAATACTCACAGCATTTTTGTTGTTTGATATATGATTGGTTTCTCAGCAGTTTTCATTAATATTATATGATTGGCTGTACTCTGGAACAATGAAAACAAAATTTTCTCATGGTTGGCACGTCATTAGCAGCACATATTTCGTGTTTGACAATAAATGGTCAATAAGTGAGGTAACACGAGTAGGATATATCGTTTTCTCACATAAAATTATCTCTTTTATTAGCTGTATAATGGCCTAATGAGATTGTGTTAAGCCAAAGGTTAAAATAGTTTACAAAAGGAATTTTATAGATCCATGTAGGTATTGTGTTCTGTTTATTGTGTACTGTACGTATAGCTGGTTGGATTTCTTGATTTTTGTTTACACGAACCATTTTTACATTAGGTCTTCCATTTTGGGGAAAAGAAATTACACTTCCTTTGTTACTTCTTAAACAAAAAACACTCACAGGCAGAATACTTATTTAGTGTAGATATAAGACCCATTTTACCTTTATGTCGGTTGCAGATCAACATACTTCCACGCGTTCAGAAAAATATATGACTCCAAGTATGTTTGTACAAGGGAGGTGTTTGTTGTCTTGGAGAACGTGTTAGTATACCAAGACACTGGCTGGGGTGAGTAGTGGGTGAGATGGCTCTAGTGTGGACAAGGAGATAGTCTGACTTTTGGGGTCCATTTGGCTGTTTATTTTGTTTTGCCAACTTCTTATCCACCACACATACACACCTAAACACCACCATCACACACACACACACACACACACACACTCTCTCTCTCTCTCTCTCTCTCTCTCTCTCTCTCTCTCTCTCTCTCTCTCTCTCTCTCTCTCTCTCTCTCTCTCTCTCTCTCTCTCTCACACACAGAGCAGAGACGGCTTAATAAGATAGGATGTGAGGGCAAGCATGCGAAGAGTAAGCAAGAAAGGGTTGAATTTGGTGGTTGTATTGCCCATTATGTCGTCTTAAACGGTCCACATTGCCCATTACACATGTCCTTGATCCCAACACCCACTAGGACCAACACAGCCTCACTGCATCATCTCCCAAAGGATGTGTGGATCTTCTATTCTGAGTTTTCCCAGACAGAGTTCATTAATAAAGGTAAAGAGGATAAAAAAAAATAACTGCACTCCTAAAAAATCAATAAATGGATACAGTTGACTCATAAACAATAACAAAATAATAAAAATATAACTAGAATCAAATAACAACAAACATTTATGAAAGTTTTAAATGAAAGGAGAAATTTACTTGAGGTTGATAAAGAGACGCTAAAATTTATCATATTAACTGTGAGTACTTTGTGTTTATTTTAGTGTAAGAGTGTGGAAGATCCTTAGGAGAAATTGTGATTGTGTATAAGAGTTGTGCAAATATTTAATAGAATTGTGTGTGTGTAGTTAGGTGTAAGAGTTGTGGCAGATCCTTAATATAATTTAGTGTTTGGACGTAAGAATGATAGATGGTTGTATATTTGGGGGTTAGAATGATAGATGATTGTATGTTTGGGTGCTAGAATGATAGATGATTGTATGTTTGGGGGTTAGAATGATAGATGGTTGTATGTTTGGGTGCTAGAATGATAGATGATTGTATGTTTGGGGGTTAGAATGATAGATGATTGTATGTTTGGGGGTTAGAATGATAGATGGTTGTATGTTTGGGTGCTAGAATGATAGATGGTTGTATGTTTGGGTGTAAGAATGATAGATGGTTGTATGTTTGGGTGTAAGAATGATAGATGGTTGTATGTTTGGGTGTAAGAATGATGGATATGTCGATAATCTTTATTGGATACTACAAATCCTGTCATATCCTGCACTTACGAATTTAAAAGAGTAAATGATATCCAGCACCCTAAGCTAACCAAACTTAACCTAACCCTACTTAACCCTATATGCATTGTATTTCATGGTCTCTTGTTGTTATTCCTAATTGTTCTCGTTGTGATTGTTGTTGTTGCTGTTTTATCATTGTTTTTGTTGCTTCAGCGGGTCAGGGTTGTTAAGCTATTGTCCATCAGGTGTTATTTTCTGCCGTGAACACCTTTTGGGGAGAATGAATAAGCTGTGGGTTATTTAAAATAGTCTTCTTGTGTTTTGTGTTCACTTTGATTCACTCTTTTTTTTTCAGTCTCAACATATTAGATATATAATTTAATTTATATTTAGTGACAAATATACTTTATGCTGTCCTTGTTGTAGAGATACTGTAATGATATACAGGACAGTGTCTCGTATTTTGAGATAAATATACAATATATTTTTAGGTATATTTTTTTTATACTTAAAGATATATTTCGTTCATGGGAATAGAGCTACATTTTATACTTTAAATAAATACAATATATATATGTTTTAGAGATTTATTATGTGCATTTGACACTTACGTCTTGTTTTTGTTGTTGTTTTTAATCATTCAAGCTCAAACTCTGCATGAAATAGTTTGATGTGGAATTTTATCACATACTTTTTGCACCAGTCATGTGTTTGGACAATATATTTGGGCTGTTCTCTTAAATTGATATCCATTATTACTTCTTTTTTATCAGTTTAATGATCTGCTTTGATGTGTTGTTATTGTTGATCGAATTTTATTAATTTTATTTTTAATTTTGATTTTGATTTTTTTTTTTACTAATTTTGTGTTTTATTATTTTTTTCTTCTTTCTTAATTAGTTTTATTTATCTCAATTGGTTACTGTTTTTCTATACAATATTTTTAGTAATTTAGTTTCACTTCTTGTCCGTGTATTTTTCTTTCCATCGTTTTATTTTAGTTTTGTCTCCATTTTTTTCCGTATATGGTGCCAGCATTTTTTTTGGGTATACAATAGTTACCCTTCTGTTCTTTTCCGTTCCCTTTTTTATAAGGATTACGAGTCTGTGTTCCAAGTATTTTTATTTACCCTCTATTTTCTTTCCTGTTTGATTCTTTTTTCTTTTAGTACAGTATAATGTTTTGTTATGTTCCAAATACCTTAGTATCTGTTTTCCAATAAAAAGAAAATCACTTAGCTGGCCATATCTTATGCTGGAATTGGGTGAGGTTGACAGAAGGCTTTGGCCAAGCACTCAAGCTGGAGGAGTGGGTCCTTACTCCCTCTCCTGGGCACAAATAGGCTCGTCACCCCTGTTTTATTCCTAATGAGCGTTTTCTGTTGTTGGAGGTTCTTGGTTGCTTTGTGGATTTCCTGCTGCTGGGAATTCTTACTCTCTGTGTATTTGCAATTTTTGTTTCTTATTTTGGGATTTCCTTTCACTATTTTCGGTTTCTGCTGCAGGTATTTTTGCCCTTCTCTATTTTCCATTTTGCTTTTTATTCACTCAGAGATTTTTCATTTGCGTCTTTTTCTGTGGTTATATAGTCTTTGTTATCTTTAATTTATAATGGCGTTTAGGTATCCAACTGTGTGTGTGTGTGTGTGTGTGTGTGTGAGTGATATTTAAAGAAACAAATACCATATATTAGAAAGGAGGTATTGTAACCTTAAACACATTGCAGCTTTAAGAGGAGTCATGGTGAATACTGTACACACACACACACACACACACACACACACACACATACATTCATTATATATACATATGGACTGAAATTCACTTCAACTTATTCATTGAATAGTGTATAATTACAATAGGGAGATTAACGTAGTATCAACAAACTGGGAATTTAAGCGTAGAGGATAATGACCAATAGCATTTACAGATGTTGGGGTCGTTAGGAGTAATTGGTATGCTGCTAATTGGTTGTTTGGGATTGATGTCGTATGCCTGGTTGCTTAGTTGTGACCCCTCTCTCCCCGCTATTGTTAGAGGGGATTAAGTTAGACAGGTTGTTAGTGAGATGTATTGAAATGTCATATTAGTTGAATCCTGTGTATGGTAATATGGTTTAAACCTTGGTGATGGAGAGGCATTATAATTGAACCTATGTAGTGTAGTGTTAATGGTTGAACCTTTTTTTTGTGCAATAGTAGTGTGGTTGAACATTTGTGGTGCAATAGTAGTGTGGTTGATTCATTATGGTGGAATCTTGAGAGTTTAAAGACTCTATGGTTGAACCTGAGTGGTCAATGAATTTTGTCTGAACCTTAATCTTGACTGAATGAAGTGAGACCAAACTCCCTACCAACTGCCTGAAGGGTAACTGAACCTTCATACTGAATAAAAAACACGTGAAAATATGACAAACTGAACCTATTAACTAAGTGAAAAAATATATAACCTAGAACGTATGCTGAACTTTGACTGAGTGAAAGACTTTGAACTTTGAAACACTTACTGGATTAGTATGTTATTGAACCTCCTCAGCAGGAAGTTGAACCCCTCACTGCTGAGAGTCCAAAGAGGTAAACCCCAGTAGTCAAGGGATAATGAGTTTGTGTGAAATTTAGTACTCAATTCCCCTTAATATTATTGAATCTCTCTACGAGGGGATAAACTTGAGATAATTTCAGTCGCTTCTAGTAAAGAGATTCCTTCCATCACTTGCACGTGTAATTCTCAGGTAAAATGTGTGATCGTGTGTCACTAAGTGTGAGGATTTTTATAACTGGCCTCGACATGTGTTGATTTTTAGCATACATGTTCATTTGGGTGATTGTATACTATTGAATTTGCCTTAACTAATACATATCTAAAAAAAGATGTTTAATTTTAACTCTAAATTACTTTTTGAGTTTATCGCTATTTTACATCTCAAGATTTCACTTATCAAAATAAAACAAATTAATGAAATTTTAATCAAAAACATTTAAGTTAACTGATTTACAGAAGCTGTTAATTAATTCTTTGTAACTTCACTTGCATGATTGGATAAACAGAGGTTATAAATTATTATTGGCCGAGGTAGACTTTTTAGGCTTGTCACGGGCTACCTGGCAGGTGGTGATGTCAAGCCCTGGTTCACCTATCCACACCAACATGGTTTCTTAAATGTGGGAGTATGTTGATGTTGGGTGATGATGATGATGATACTAGGTAATGATGAAGATGAGGATGTTAATGGTAATGATGATATTTGTGATGCTGATGATGATGATGATGATGATGATGATGAAAGTAGAATGACAGTAAAATCACCAACTGGAGGTACAGTGCTGCAAATCTACATAGGAGTTGGTGGTATGTTTGTGTTCCCGTAATTTTTTTAATGTGTCATTTTCTTTTCATGGATTTTATCATGTGTTTTGATATTTTGAAAGGAAGATAAGCGATAAAACATTGAACCACCAAACTGTTTTTGTAAGATGGGAAAACCAATCAAGGGTTCAAATTTTCACAAAGAATTTTACCTTTGATTTTTTTCCCTTCATAATTACGATACGAGAATGCATGTAGGCAAGTCATTCGCTAAGATTTAGAGTACAGTACACGGAGGGAAAGGAGTCAAATTTTATGCATTTTGAGAGATTATTTTACTAGATGCATTCTCTGAAACTCGTTTAAGGTGGAAAAATCTTAAGGTAGGGATCTATTGAGAAGGCTAGGACTGGCCTTGTGTCCTAACATTCAGTATGGTAAGTATGATCTAATTTAACCATGATTTTTACTCCCACACTTTCTTGTATATTTCATATCTGCTTCACTTTTTTCCTTCCCTTTTTTCAGCTGGTAATAATAGTGTCCTCACTTCCCCTCTACACCGTATTTTTTATAAACAGTAACAGTATAATATATATATATATATATATATATATATATATATATATATATATATATATATATATATATATATATATATATATATATATATATATTATTTTTCCCTATTTTAACACCATTTATCTCGTAATATTGATGCATGCCGCTAAAACTTTGTATTTTAATGAGACAACAGTGTACAGTATAATGCAGTAAATTGTTCAGGGGAAGAGTGTGAGGGAGAGGAACAAATTGTTGGAGGGGTGAACATGGAACACCTGTTATGTGACACCTGTATGGATCAGGGGCAGCTGTGGTCATTGTGTCACACATAACACAGCTGTTTGATGTAGGTGTGTATTTTTTCTAAAGGTTGTATGTGTGTGTTTTAATTGGTTTGTAAAAGGCTTACAGGTGTGTGTATATATATATATGTGTGTGTGTGTGTGTGTGTGTGTGTGTGTGTGTGTGTGTGTGTGAGATACATGAAACTGCAGAGCACACGTGACCTTCACAGCTCACATATATACATATATACTGGTTCGTGTTTGGGTGACAGATATGATTGTTTGTACGTTGATCCTGTGAACGAGTCTGACAGCTTATGAAAGTGAATTTACACGTCAGTATTTCAGTGGCATTTACCAAGTTACTGATGTTGTAAATGACACTGATGGATACTGAAAATTGTGTTCACCTATATTGTACATTAATGGTATGTGTGTATGTATCGTATGTCTGTCTGGTCATCAGAGCTAGGATGCTGTGTGTGAGTATTTTACTTCTTTAGTGTTTATAGATAATCACGTGTCTGTACAGTTTTGCATATGTAATGTTCCTCACCTCACAGGCGACTTGATACCATGTTGTTGGACTCTGTTGTGCCACCACCACCACCTTGAGTATCACTGCAGTGTTGCCACATAAACGGAGTCGCCTGTTAGTCAAGGAACATTATATATGCGGGCAACTGTACTCGAGTTATTTGTTAAGAGAGATCTATGAATTTGGGATTGCATCTGTATACTTTTTCTGTATGTATGTGTATATTTCTGCACAGGATTGTCCGTATGTTTGGCCGAGTTGTTCCGATTATTCACTGAGTTAAGTCTTATCCGTATTACCCTATACATTAATATAGTAATGCTCGTATGACTGTCTGTGTATGTGTGATTTGTATGAACGTGTATTAAGAAATTGCATGTACTGTATGTATATAGCTAAAATTTGTATGTACGTGCAATAAGAAATTAACTTGTACTCAACGGAATTTACGTGTGTGTGTGTGTGTGTGTGTGTGTTTTAGATGACTCGGAAAACCATTTTATTACACAATATGACCGTATGCATGTGCGTGAATGTAGGTGTATGAGCACATATACTGTATATACTGTATATTTATAAATGTATATTGTAGCAATGTATGTATGTGTGTATGTACTCATCAGATGTACTGAGGAACCCTAGAACTAACAATATTTCTTCTTCCTCTCCCGGTTTCGCAGAGAGAGGCCCGCGGCTCCGTTACCTTCAAGATCGTCCCCTCCTACCGCAGTGCCCCGCCCCCTTGCGAGGTATGTCCCGTATCTGTTGCTCCTTCACTCAATGTCTGGTACGTGCAGCGCTTCCTCCTTACCCTCCTTCCTTCCTTCCTTCCTTCCTTCCTTCCTTACAAATTGGTATGTGCAACCCCCACTTCCTCAACCATCCTTCCTCACTCACTCACACTTCCTCATAACCTCCTCATACTTCACATCCCCCAATTAGGTACATCCAGTATATGTTGGTTGGTCCCTCATTATGTGTTATGTGCCCTACCTCTACTTTTCCCTCACTGTTTCCGATCCTCATAACGTTTTCTCAGCTCCCAATTTTACCTCATTACGTCACACCTCATTCGCTTTTGTCTCTTCTTCATTTTCCTTCATACCTGACCTCATAATCCCTTCTAATACTCATAATAATACTCCTAATTCCCCCTCATAACACCACTCACAAAACTTCTCATAAATCACTTCCTATTCCACTCATGACAGCCACTCACAGCCCCTCATAATGCTCCCTCACTCCCTCATGATACCCCCTTAGCCACATAACACCCCTCAGTCCCTCATAATGCCCCCCCTCCTACTCATCCCCTCACAATACCCCGTCAACACCTCAAAGCACCTCATAATACCTCAGACCATCACTACCACTTCCTTCTCTTCATAAATGAGTAATGTCAACTTTTACTGAAGACACACAAGTAGATAAAGGAGTTAGGCATCAGTAGATCAAGTAGGTGATTCCATGGCCCTTGTACACGTAGTAAGCTGTGGCGTCATTGGTCAGCGTCTGTTGGGTTGATTAGTATGTAGTCGATTTAATAGATGATTGTAATAGGTTTAACACTCTTCGAAAGCTTACTAGTAATATTGTGGCGGAGAACGTGATTACTTAGTCAATATTCTCTCTAGGGTTCAAATATAATGTTCTTTAAGAATTACAAAAAAAAATCCCTGGTATTATTAAAACTGTAAACGTCTTAGAAATGTTACGTTGGTTTATGAAAACTGTCTCAGGCTTGTATAACGCTCATTGAAAAAGTCGTGTAGTGGGTAATGAAACTATTTACAGTACAGTACTACCAACATTCATAATTATTTACTCTAAACTTATTTTTTAACGTTTAAGAACCTCATTTACTTCTTGGGTAATGGATTCAGCACTTTGATTAAATAGTCTTGTTGTTTGGAATAGATTATTATATGTCTTTGTTATTAATAACATGGTGCTTAACATTATTTTCTAGTGAGCAGTCTTGTAGTCTTGGTTAATAGCCATGTTCTCTGGTTAATAGCTTTGTTATTCTAGCTAGTTGATAGCCTCGTTCTATGGTAGTACTAGCTTGCCACAGAATTTTTCATGCTCACGTTGGCTGCTTAGACAGGCCAAGCAGAGAGAGGCGGTAAGCAATAATCACGACAAAGACAGAAATATCCCACCACCGACCACAAACAGACCCACTTGAATTCGACCAGGATTTAAGAGTAAAGTTTATCCTCGGATCCTACAGATAGTAGTAGTTGACGAAGAACTTTTGTATTCAGAATAGGAAGAAATAATATAAGCATTAGATTCTTCATATGTAGGACAATTGAGATTCAGACCTGTTAATGCTATCTCAGAAACTGCTGTGTAGCATTGTATCATATTTATATTTTCACATGTAAAAATATTGGCTCGTATTCCGTGTATCGTGATGCTCATATTGTTGTCAGCTACAAGTACTTTATTATTCCATTTCCTGACAATCATCCTAAAATAATATTGAGATTTTGGAGGAAGTACAGTTAGACAGTAACATTCGCTAATTACTGTTGGTGAAGGGTACAGTATATGACATCAATGCAGAACGCTACTATCACTACAACGCTTTTCAAACTCTGTGTTCCTCCGTTATCACACAACTTCTGCCAGGAAACATTTAAAAAATTATGTATATCAGACATCTTAGATAAGACCCTTGAGTTGGACGGCTGCACCCCAAAAAACTGTTGATTATTTTTAAACACATTATTGTACATTTGTTTGGCTCATAAGTTCTGCAAAATTAATGAATTATCATAATTAATTCGTATCTCCAATTTAGTTAGAGTAATTTTGCCGAATTCCATGAAAATGTGACTAAGTTTTGTTAGGCAGTGCACTTGTGGGATGGTTCCTGGTCCAAGTTAATTTTACGGATATATATTATGACACATAGGCAAAGTGTTTGTTGTTCCATGAATATAAATTAAAGAGGAAACAGATCCAATATGTATAGCAAATATATGAAACATGAAATATTTTATTACAGTTCATGAAACTATTAACTCTGAATTAGTTTCGACCCACAGCAGAGTAACCTAACTACTGTATATAGCTGAACCTACTGTAGTTGTTAGTTGAAATGGGTCCTAAACGAGAATCCCAATGGTTATATTATGCTAGGAACCATTGTAAGGAAAGTAGGAAATAAGTTACAGGAAGTCAAAGAAAACAATTACAAACCTTCCTGATTTAACCTTTATTATTAAGTTATGAAGAAAAAATCTGAAGAAATCCTGCGACATTTCTCCTAGCCAAAAATTGTGGCTATTTCATTGACTTTATACATATGACCTTTTTCCAGGCAGTACTGCAATTCGGAGCTATTTGGCCGGGCACCTACAAGCTTCTTCTATATTTATTCACTTGCATCCTTTATAAATGTTGACATCTTCCAATTTTTACAGATATACAATAAATTCTTATATACTGTGACCTGATACCACACTTCCTCGCTTGTGTTTCTGAAATTATCAATAGCATCCAAATGTTAATATTCTCACAGTAAACAGTGAGTCGAGCCACAGCACCATACACACCTCGCCATGTTTACCTTCCATCATGGCTAAACTAAATGTTGTTTACAGAGTTATGATGTAAGCGGCAGCCTTCTGTAAGACCTTCCTCCCTTGGCGCTATTTGGTAACACAGGTATTTTTTTACCTGATGCTTTGTAATTTACCAAGTCTTGATGGAAAAATACGAAATCTAATATAGCGTACAACCAGCATCCTTTGAAACCACTAAATACAAAGAGGTTTTTGTGGGATAAACTTTGTAATAGAAAAACGTGTTTATTTGTTTAGGACAGAACTAATCCGGCGGGGATAAACTCGTGGCAAACTCTCTCTTGGCAGGAAAAAACGCACCACTTCATTTGTTGAAACATCCACCTTTGATAAAAAAGAAACACTGTGTCGTGTTTAGGGGAAACAGTCTAACAAGTAAAAACACCTGAGGGCGTGTTGGTGTTAAAAAGGGAAGGCTCCAGCCTCCAAGCCAAAAAACACCTGATGGCATTACGGGAAACAAATCCAGAGCGGGAAAAACTCGTGACGTCATTACTGAAATGAAATCCTGAGCGGGAAAAAAACATGTGACATCATTATTGAAACCAAAAGTAGGGCGGGAAAACTCGTGATGTCATTAGCCAGGGTTTTGCGTTGTCTGGTGTGTTAGGTTGATAGATAATCTCTTCTGCCGATGGAAAGGTAAACGCCGTTACATTGATGACTTGCTCACTGTGCTGAAATTGCCTCTCGTCTCATTGATAGCCTCTGCCAGGTGTAAATAATGTATACAGCAGTTAATAGTACACGACCCAGCTACAGTTTTAACAAACCCACACCCACTCTCCTCTACCCCCCTTCACTCTCCTCTCCTCGTATACTCTTCCTCCTCTCGTTTACTTGTCCTCTTTTACTATAATTCCTCTTCCTCCTCTTCCATTGTTTCCTTCTCTTCCTCCTCTTCCACTACTTCCTCCTCTCTTTTACTTATCCTCTTTTGCTATAATTCCTCTTCCTTCTGTTCCACTCCTTCCCTCTCAATTCCTCTTCCTTCTCCATTTTTCTTCCTTATCTATCTCCTTTCCTTTTTCATCACTTCCACTCCATCCCACTCTTCCATTTACTCCATCTCTCCTCTTCATCTCCTCCATTTCCCCTCCACTCCCGTGCCACTCCTCCTCCACCTAATGGTTGGCGTCTTCAAAAATGCATTTCCTCACCGCGGTGGAGTGACGCATTTTATTTACTACATCTTTTTGTTTTATATTTGTGTGGTAATGCCTAGTGTGACACCTACTATTATAATGTTGTATTATTTTTATTATTAGTTCAGTAGTAGTAGTAATGTTGATTATTATTATTATTATTATTATTATTGACCTTATTTACCTAATGACCACCCACTAAAGGTGACCATGTCAAGGGAAGGAGACCAGTGACCTGTGTAGGATCCCTCCATTGTTCTTAATATTTTTGGTGTTTTTATTATTAGTATTATTATTACTAATGACTTTATTATACTGAATGTTATTAATATTTTGTACAGTATTGACTTGGTGATCGTTAAACACCTTCCTTCCTGCCCACCAACACCATGACTCGGATAACAGAACAACATATACTGTGTAGTCTCAGTGCAATTTCGACGCCATTTTGGATGCCGTCTTTGTGATCCAGTGAATTATTTTGATGATCTCTTCAAGGTCAAGGAAGCTCAATTTAGGATATTTAGAGAATATCGTAAAAAATTCTTATATGGGAACTAGACATTATAAAATAAATAATACTTTGGAAATATTAACAATGATATTTAATAAAGTATTATTGTTTGTTGTATCATTAACGTTATTGACTTACGTACATACCTTTACTGGCAATATATATATAAAATATATCCCACGAGTAAAAGTAAAACAATTTAAAACTATTGTTTAATCCCATGGTATCAAAGTGTTATCAACCCTTTGTTGGTTCCTTTTACAGATAATTACATGAACAACAGCTGTTGGCTAATGGGTAGTACTGTACCTGTGAAACTAGTTTATAGTATTGTGCTCTCTCTCTCTCTCTCTCTCTCTCTCTCTCAACAAAAACTATGTAGGCTCTGAGGTGTATGTCAGATCGGTCAAGGAAACAAAAACAATTATTATTTATTCGCTTTATTTTTAGGCTTAAGAAAATATTTTGAGGCTGAGTTTTGGTGGAGGCAAAGA